GGATGCAAGACTGAGTCGACCCTGAGCCCCTGGCTGGTATCAAACTCACAACCTTATAATTTACAAGTGAGTGGCTGCAGTACAGGCATTTAACCATTGAGCCACCAGGGCTCCAATAAAAAATATGGAACACTTCACAAATTTGCGTGTCATTTATGTTTTTAAAGCTGTAGAAACTGTCACACAAAATGTTCTATTGTGTACAGAACAAAATCAAACAGTGATAGAAACAGATTTGTATTAGAAAATATATGGTACATCTTACAAAGCACTACTTCTTACCTATGAAGCCTCCAGTCCCTGATTACAGCCAATATTCCAAACTAATCTGATCAACTGCAGACGCTTCTATCCCTGGCTTGACAGAGTACATTCTGGGAAGTGGAATTAAGCTGTGTTTTAACTTTGCAGTTTGAATCTCCCTTATCCAAAATTCCAAAATTTGAACTACTCCAAAATCTGAAATTGTCCACATGGGTGGCTGAGTTACACTTTTACTTTTTGATGGCTCAGTGTACACAAACCTTGTTTCATGTACAGAATTATTTAAAATACTAAGTATAGAATTACGTTTAGGCTATGTGTATAAGGTAAATATGAAAAAAAAATCATATTTAGACTTAGATCCCAAGATATCTCACTATGTACATGCAAATATTCCAAAATCCAATAAATAAATAAATAAATAAATAAATAAATTCTGAAGCCCAAAGCACTTTTGGTCCCAAGCATTTCAGATAAGGGAGACTCAACCTATATTAATGTAAACTCTCTTGCCTTTGTAATCCTCAAACACTGATGGTTATTTTTTTTTTTACGTTTTCAGTATACAAGAACATAAAAACTCACAATGTTTTTGACAGGACTTTTGACAGATATAGCACCCTTTAAGAAGAAACCATAAAGAATTAGCTAATTTCAGTATTGACAAATCGTCTGCCTTGGGCCTTAATACTAAAACAATAAATGAAAAGATATAGGTGAGTGATTTGAAATAAAGAACCATGGAATAGTGAAAGGCAATCAAATAAGGATTTGATTTTCAAATAAATATGTATTCTGCAATTTGGTTCCATGCATTTGACCATTATGCAAAGAGTAATCTACCTTGAAATTCTATTCTCCCTATGTAATTCGGAGCAAATCTAAACTATTTTGTGATATTCTGACTGGCTTAATAAAGGTGTTGTCTTAATACAGACCTTGGATTTTTTCCCCACTTATGGTCAGGATGGCAATTTCAGTGTGATATTTTGTCTAAGCATGAAACCTGAGGCAAAACCTGTGTTAGTTTACACAATTTCGCTGCTTATTGTAGGGGTTGTTTTATGTATTTGATTTTAGATGTAAGCCGCTTTGATGGCCATGGCTAAAGGCAGGGTATAAATAATAATAATAATAATAATAATAATAATAATAATAATAATAACAACAACAAGCAAAAAGCTGCAGTGTGGAGTATCTGTCTGTTCAGGGTTCAG